AAATCTCCTTCCCTAGATCATCCTGTCAGTTAGGTTCATTATCTATTTTTCATATTATTGCAAGCCACAGTGTTCCTTCAAATAATATTTTCTTTTTTCCTTTAAGCCCTCACCTACAGCCTCATCCAGAGCCAGCAGGATTTTGCTAGCATCTTTCAAGGCCCTTCAGACTTCTGCCTATCACCTGATGGTAGGCATACAATAATATGTTTATGTTTTTGTACAGCTGTACCCCACTCCTGATACCAAAATATGTTCCACTTACTTAAAACATAGGGGCTTAACAGCACAAAACCATTCATTACCTCATGGTTTCTGAGGGTGTGGCTCAGCTGGGCTGTTCTGACTCAGGTTCTCCCATGAGGCTGCAGTTAGATGGTGGTTGGAGCTCTCTTTATCTAGAAGACTTCTTCATTCACATATCCTTGTGCCTCGTCTGCGAAGACTCAGCCGAGTGGTAAAACAGGTGGAGCTCCTTGGGCATCTCTGTTTCTATGTGGTCTTACATGGTGGCTTAAGGCTTCAGTGCCATGTGTTCCAAGAGGGAGATCCAGGAAGAAGCATATTCTCTTTATGGCCTAGTCTCAGAAGTCACACCACAACACATCTCTGTATTCTGTTGGATGAGACAGTTATAAAGGTCCACCCAGGTTCCAGGGGAGGGATCACAGACCTTATGTATCAGCAGAAGAATGTTGACATCATATTATCATAGGAACTTGTAGAATTGGATAGCTGTCAGCGTGTCACTCTGGAAAATATACAGTGACACAATAAAAAATACAGAAAGCTCAAGTCATAAAAGAAAGAAATTAATATGTTGGACTTAATCAAAATTAAAGATTTCTGCTCTTTAAAAAGTAGCATCATATATCAATGTTAGTTTTTGTTGTGATATTGTATTATATTTATGCAGGATGTTACTATTTGGGAAAACTGAATAAAGGGTTTATAGAATTCTTCTGCGTTATTCCAGACACCTACGTGTGAATCTGCTGTTGTCTCAAAAAGTTAAAAAAATGTGCCATCACCAAGGTAAATATTCAAGCCAAAAATGAGAGAAACTTTTTGTAGCACACATATCTGGCAGACAACTAGTATCCAAAGTGTATGAAGAACTTTAAATTAATTAAAAAATCTAGATTAATAAAACTTTAGATGTTTGAATATAAACAAAAAATCATAGAATAAATTCTAGGAAGTTGAAATTACAGTATAGTACGAAATCATTTCCCATGATCACGTAGAGTTTACTCCATAGGTGGAGTCCCTGGGTGGTGCAAACGGCCAACACACTTGGCTGCTAACTGAGAAGTTGGCAGTTCGAGTTCACCTAAAGATGCCTCAGAATAAAAGCCTGGTGATCTACTTCTGAAAAATCAGCCATTGAAAACCCTTTGAAGCACAGTTTTACTCTGATATACGCGGGGTCACCACAATTGGAATTACTCAAAGGCAGCTGCTTTGTTTTTAAATTATAGAAGTGCAAGATATTATTGCTTAATGGGTACAGAGTTTCTGTTGGGGTGATAAAGTTTTGGAAAGAAATACTAATGGTTGCATAACATTATGTGATTAATGACTCTGGATTGGATGCTTGAAAATGGTTAAGATGGCAGATTGTTTTGTATATTTTACCACAATTAAAGACAATTGGCAAATTTTGCATTCTTCACTAATGCTTTTTTTTTTTTTAATCTGCACTTTTTCCTTTTTTAAAACGTTCCCTCACTTCGTTCTATTGCCAACTAAACCCTTAAACTGCTTGGATGATAAATAGTGATGCCAACAGAAACAGAAACTGAAAGGTGAATTGGGTACCGACTTTTTAAAAAATTCATTCTTTTGTAAATTAAAAAAAAGAGGGAGACCTTGATGGCATGTAGTAATTTCCAACAAAAATTAGATGATGAAATGATGCAGATTACAGAAGTTATTCAGAGGACGTTAGCAAAGATGTCTAGCAATGAAATGTGTGGTACAACTATTGCTTTATCTGCTCCCTTATCCAGACTTCTCTCTCCTAGCCTGGGTCAGTCCCCAGGGATCCCTCGGGGAATGGCCTGTGAGGTAATGGCAGTATGCCTGGAAGTCTTTTCCATAGCCATTGATCACAGTCATTGTTTTCACTCTCCACTGCTGGAACACCAGTGTGTTGACATCAGCTGACATCTGTATCCCAGAGTACATTAAACAAAGAAACTCCAAGGAGGTAGTTATATGCTCATTTTTAAATACGTAGCTTTTTAAAATTATGGAAGTAATTTTGCTTTTCTGGACAGTTTAAAAATATAGACATGTAGAATGATAAGTCTCTTCCTCTTTACTCAAAACCAAAAAACCAAACCCATTGCCATTGAGTCGATTCCAACTCATGGTGACTCTATAGGACAGAGTAGAACTGCCCCATAGGGTTTCCAAGTTGTGGATGGTGGATTCGACCTGCTGACTTTTTGGTTAGTAGCCAAGCTCTTAACAACTATACCACCAGGGCTCCTTCTTCCTCTTTGCCCCCCTCAAATTCTATCCCTTAGAAATTAAAAAAAAAAATAGTTACCATTGAGTCGACTCTAACTTATGGTGACCCTATGTGTGTCAGAGTAGAACTGGGCTCAATAGAGTTTTTAATGGCTGATTCTTCGTAAGTAGGTCGCCAGGCCTTTCTTCCCAGGCACCTCTGGGTGGACTAGAATTTCCAACCTTTTAGTTAGCAGCCGAGCACGTTAACCATTTGCACTCCTCAGGAACCCCCCTAGAAATAGTTTGTATTTTTTTCACATGATTTTCTTTGTAGAAACTAACATATACAATATGTGTGGGCTGATTTGCTTTATTGAAATGTATACATTCTTCAGCAGCTGAAGTACATTTAGCTTATTTCTAGAGTTTTGCCATCACAAACTATTTGTTGAAAGAAATAAACACCTTGCACTTTCTACTAAAATAAAAACAGTTGTGCATATATATGTAAGTACAGTTGTTTTCATTTCTTCATGACGATTTTCCAAACATGAGATTGCTGGGTCGCAGGGGCAGTGCGTGTTTTATTGTAATAGATGTTGCCAGATTACTTTTTAAAAAACTTAGCAGAGAGACATATTTAAATCAATAGTCTGAGGATGTATTTCCTTTATTCGTACCATATAAATGTTCTTAAAATTATTATTTGATTTTTTTTATTAAAAAAATACATGGCTAAAAATTAAAATAGTATTACAAGGTAGCAGTGTCCTTCTGTTTCCTCCATCTGCTCCTAAAAAGGAATCACTTTTAACTCTTTTAGGTATTTCTTCTGATACCCAAGTCTGCACATCTAAACATTTCAAAGTACTTAACACAGCTCAGTTTTACTTTTTAGATTTGAGGCATCTCTCTTGACCTCCTTCTATACTTCGTGGTTTACACCCCAGCTGTTGTTTCACGCTCACAGTTCAGAAATGCAGTAATTTCATATGTTAGTTGAATATATACTCTGTGTTGATATTAGTATGATAATATTCATTAACGTTTTTGAAAGGTGAACCATGAGGCATCCAACTATTTTTTTTCCCTAGAATTAGTAGTTGCTTTTTCTGTTTGCTTTGTTTTCTGTGTACTCATTACTAATACTTCCCCAACACTACCACAGGGCTTCAGACCCTTTCAATATGATCAAACATATTAAGTCATCTTTACTTCTGTCTAATTTTATTTTATCATTTATACTTTATTTCGTTTTTAAGATTTGAGAGCCCTCTTTCCTTCAGCCCTCCGTGCCCCTGTGCCTGTCTTGACTCCTTGGTTTTCTCAACTGTCTTCTGAGATCATTCTTCACTATCATTCTGGGGATTCCTTTGCCTTTCTTTTATGGTAGAGTACCTGTTTCCTGAATCCTGAATCTTTCCAGTTTTTAGTTTACTCACTCATTTTGGTGAAGCACCTCCCCTAGGAGCTTTTTGAAAAGTAGTACTTGAGAGATAAATTTTTGAGTGCTTCCAGGTATCTTGATTGGTTCCTTACTTGGGTATAGGATTCTAAGTTAGACATAGTCTTCAGGTGGAATTTTGGAGCCATTGCTTCCCTGCTTTCTAAGGACAGGTATTGCCAATAAGAAGTCCGATAATTTGATTTTCTGTATTTTTCCCTGGAAGATTTTATGATATTTTCTTTATCTCCACTGTTTTAAATTTAACTTGAATTGTGCTGGATATTCAGTGGACCCTTTTAATATTAAAAATAAATTCTTCACCTACAATGGCAGGCCTGCTTTTACAAGCTCTGGCCCCACGTCCACACTGAAGACCCTGCAAACAAAAGCAAGTAAGTTCTTATATCCCTATTACTTTGACGTCGCTCCTCCTGGATCGATGCTGTATTGTTTAAATGGTGTGAAATGCCTCCTATTTTTTTGCTCGCTCTCTCTTCTGGGATTTAGATTTCAGTTTTCTCTATCTTGCTAAATTCAGTTACCCCTCATCAATCCATGTTTTATCTTCCAAAAAACATGTTTCTATTTCTTCTCTAGTAATGTCTTTTCTTCTCATTCACCTAATTCTTTGAGAGAGAAAAAAAAAAACCCCTTTACTGTAATGTGATTTTAGTGAGAATTTTGGGTAAGTGAAGCTACGTGCATGTGTTCAATCTTCTGTGTTTTCAGAAGACATAGCAAAAATGCCTTAAAAATACTTTCTAATTGCTGATGAGGTTAGTAATTGTTTTTACCATATGTGCTTTGCCTGTGTGTTTCCCCTTAAATTACGGAAATGACTAGTTTCAAATCAGTGCTTGAATTTTCTTCTTTCCATCAACACCGTCACTCTTCCTTTCACTTTTTCAGTGAAAATGCATTCTTCAAACCCAACTTTCTAACTCACAAGAAAACCATCTTCAGGAGAAACACACTTTATCCTGTACATTGATCTTGCTGCAGTCTTTCACATAATGATGAATATTAAGTTTACATCTTTATTTAGCATGCTTATGGAATAACCTTTCTTTCTTCTTTTTTCTTTTTAATGTAGTGCCAAGGTCAGTGGAGCATCGTAAATGGAACTGGCGGACTAAACCTGAAAGCCGTGATTTTGATGAACTGAACCACATCCTTCAAGAGAGCAAGAAGCTGGGAAAAGCTCTTGAGAATCTCTCTCGAAGTAAGTTGTTTACTTGATCAGAATTGAAATTCCTAACCACTATTAAAAGCAGCCACATTCATTACTATTGCCAGTAACCCATTTCCAACATCCTCCTTGTAATTCTGTGAGAGGCTGAGGAGTTCTAAGGGCATGAGATTGGAAATGAGGATTGATTGTTTGTATTACGCAGAATCGTGGGAAGACTGGTTATACTGTGTAGGAGGAGCTACAGAACCCCACAGCTATTTGACTCTAGCCTGTGCAACATGGTCTCTGCCACCTAGGCCAAACGTACACCTAATCATATCTTCTCCTTTGAAACATACGTAGTTTTGTCATTGCAGCTAATATACTTATCTGTTGTTGCCACTACTTTTTTTTTTTAATCTTTTTTTATTGTGCTGTAGGTGAAAGTTTACAGCACAAGTTAATGTTTCATACAAAAATTTATACACATATTGTTATGTGACACTAGTTGCAATCTCTATAATGTGATAGCACACTCCCCCTTTCCACTCTGGGTTTCCTGTTTCCATCCAGCCAGCTCCTGTCCCTTTTTGCCTTCTCCTCCTGCCCCCAGATAGGAGCTGCCCTTTTAGTCTCATGTATCTGCTTGAACTAAGAAGCACACTCTTCACGAGTATTTATGTTTTATGGTCCAGTCTAATCTTTGTATGAAGAGTGGCGTTGGGAATGGTTTTAGTTCTGGGTTAACAGAGAGTCTGGAGGCCATGTCTTTGAGGTTTCCTCTACTCTCAGTCAGACCATTAGTCTGGTCTTTTTACCTGAATTTGAGTTCTGCACCCCACTTTTCTTCTGCTCCATCAGGGACTCTCTTTTGTCTTCCTTGTCAGGGCTGTCATTGGTGGTAGCCGGGCACCATCTAGTTTTTCTGTTCTCAGGCTGATGGAGCCTCTGGTTTTTGTGGCCCTTTTGTCTCTTGGGCTAATACTTTCCTTGTATCTATGGTGTTCTTCATTCTCCTTTGCTCCAGGTGAGTTGGGACCAATTGATGCATCTTAGAGGCTGCTTGCAAGCTTTTAAGACCCCAGACATCACTCACCAAAGTGGGATGCAGAACATTTTCTTAATAAACTTTGTTATGCAAGTTGACCTAGATGTCCCCTGAAACCATGGTCTCCAGACCCCCGCCCCTGCTATTCTGTCCCTCGAAGTGTTTTGTTGTGTTCAGGAATCTTCTTAGCTTTTGGTTTAGTCCATTTGTGCTGACTCCCCCTGTATTGTGTGTTGTCCTTTCCTTCACCTAAGATAATTCTTGTATACTATCTAGTTAATGAGTTTCCCTCTCCCTCCCTCCCCACTCTGGTAACCATCAAAGAAGGTTTTTCTTCTGTGTTTAAACTTTTCTTGAGTTCTTATAATAGTGGTCTCATACAATATATGTCCTTTTACGACTGACTAATTTCACTCAGCATAATGCCTTCCAGATTCATCCATGTTGTGAGGTATTTTGCGGATTTATCATTGTTCTTTATCGTTGTGTAGTATTCCATTGTGTATATGAAACATAATTTGTTTATCCGGTTGTCCATTGATGGACATCTAGGTTGTTTTTGCTATCATGAAAAGTGCTGCAGTGAACGTGGGTGTGCGTATAGCTATTCGTGTGATGGCTCTTATTTCTCTAGGATATATTCCAAGGAGTGGGATTGCTGGAATGTATGGTACTTCTATTTCTAGCTTTTTAAGGAAGCACCAAATCAGTTTCCAAAGTGGTTGTACCATTTTGCATTCCCATCAGCAGTGTATAAGTGTTCCTGCCTCTCCACAACCTCTTCAACATTTATTATTTTGTGTTTTTTGGATTAATGCTAGACTTGTTGGAGTGAGATGGTATCTCATTGTAGTTTTGATTTGCATTTCTCTAATGGCTAATGATTGTGAGCATTTCTTCATGTATCTGGTAGCCACCTGAATGTCTTCTTTGGTGAAGTGCCTGTTCATATCCTTTGCCCATTTATTAATTGGATTATTTGTCTTTTTGTGGTTAAAGTTATGCAGTATCTTGTAGATTTTAGAGATTAGATCCTGATGGGATATGTTGTAGCCAAAAATATTTTCCCAGTCTGTAGGTTGTCTTTTGACACTTATGGTGAAGTCTTTTGATGAGCGTAGGTGTTTGATTTTTAGGAGCTCCCAGTTACCTAGTTTCTCTTCTGGCATTTGTGCATTGTTACTTATGGTTTATATTCTGTTTATGCCATGTATTAAGGCTCCTAGTGTTGTTCCTAGTTTTTCTTCCATGATCTTTATTGTTTTTGATTTTATACTTAGGTCTTTGATCCATTTTGATTTAGTTTTTGTACATGGTGTGAAGTATGGGTCTTGTTTCATTTTTTTGCAGATGGCTATCCAGTTATGCCAGCACAGTTTGTTATAGAGACTGTCTTTTCCCCAGTTAAAGGACTTTGGGCCTTTGTCAAATATCAGCTGCTCATAGGTGTATGAACTTACGTCTGGATTCTCAATTCTGTTCCATTGGTCTATGTATCTGTTGTTGTACCAGTTCCAGGCTGTTTTGACCACTGTGGTGGTATAATAGGTTCTAAAATCAGATAGTGTGAAGCCTCCCACTTTGTTCTTCTTCTTCAGTGATGCTTCACTTATCCAGGGCCTCTTCTCTTTCATGTGAAGTTGGTGCTTTATTTCTTCATCTCGATAAAAAATGTTGGTTGAATTTGAATTGGGATTTCATTGTATGTGTAGATCTCTTTGGGTGGAATAGACATTTTCACAATGTTGAGTCTTCCTATCCATGAGCAAGGTATGTTTTTCCACTTTTGTAGGTCTTTTTTGGTTTCTTGCAGTAGTGTCTTGTAATTTTCTTTGTATAGGTCTTTTACGTCTCTGGTTAGATTTATTCCTAAGTATTTTATCTTCTTGGGGGCTATTGTAAATGGTATTGATTTGGTAATTCCCTCTTCGAAGTTCTCTTTGTTAGTGTAGAGGAATCCAACCGATTTTTGTGTTTATCTTGTATTCTGATACTTGCTTGAAATCTTGTATTAGTTCCAGTAGTTTTCTTGTGGATTTTTTTGGGTTTTCTGTGTATAAGATCATATCATCTGCAAATAGGGATACTTTTACTTCTTCCTTACCAGTTTGGATGCCCGTTATTTCTTTTTCTTGCCTTAAATTGCTCTGGCTAGGACCTCCAGCACAATGTTGAATAAGAGTGGTGATTAAGGGCATCCTTGTCTGGTTCCCATTCTCAAGGGGAATGCTTTCTGACTGTCTCCATTTAGGATGATGTTGGCTGTTGGCTTTGTATAAATGCCCTTAATTATATTGAGGAATTTCCCTTCTATTCCTATTTTTGCTGAGAGTTTTTATCATGAATGGGTGTTGGACTTTGTCAAATGCCTTTTCTGCATCAATTGATAAGATCATGTGGTTCTTGTCTTTTGTTTTATGTATGTGATGGATTACATTGATTGTTTTTCTAATGTTGAACCATCCCTGCATACCTGGTATGAATCTCACTTGGTCATGGTGAATTATTTTTTTGATATATTGTTGAATTCTATTGGCTAGAGTTTTGTTGAGGATTTTTGTGTCTATGTTCATGAGGGATGTTGGTTGGTCTGTAATTTTTTTTGTGGTGTCTTTACCTGGTTTTGGTATCAGGGTTATGCTGGCTTCATAGAATGAATTCAGGAATATTTCATCCTTTTCTATGCTCTGAGATATCTTTAGTAGTAGTGGTGTTAACTCTTCTTTGAAAGTTTGGTAGAATTCTCCAGTGAAGCCATGAGGGTCAGGGCTTTTTTTTTTGTTGGGAGTTTTGCAGTTACCTCTTTAATCTCTTCTCTTTTTATAGGTTTATTTAGTTTTTCTACCTTGGTTTGTGTTAGTTTAGGTAGGTAGTGTGTTTCTCGAGTTAAAAATCAGTCACTTTGGAAACACATTAATGCCATAGCCTCATTAAAATTTTCTTTTGATGCCATGGAATATTAAAAAATACTAAAATATAAAGTATTGAAACACGGACAGATTCTAGTGGGTTATATTTTAGGATCTGTATGTTTTTTGACATAGCATGGTTTTATAGATTTCATGATTTGTATCAAAGTTAAGCATTGTTACCTGGTACATTTTGAGAGAAGTAATATATAAGTGTATATATATACTTTGTTGTTATTGTTGTTAGGTGCCATCGAGTCAGTTCCAATTCATAGTGACCCTGTAAGACAGGGTAGAACTGCCCCCTAGGGTTTCCAAGAAGTGGCTGGTGGATTTGAACTGCTGACCTTTTGGTTAGCAGCCAAGCTCTTAACCACTACACCACCAGGGCTCCCTATATATACTTTAGTTTGTTTTATACTTTAGTGTATATGTAATACCTTACTGTTATATATAAACTAAAGTATATATACCAAAACTTTTGTAATAAAGGAGCTTGACAGCATTTATATGTATATATACTTTAGTGTGTGTATATATATACACACTAGTATGTATATGTACTTTAGTGTATATATATATATGCAAGTATATGTGTGTGTGTATATATATATATCCTTTAGTATACAAATATATGCAAAGTATATATAGACTTTAGTTTTTTCATACCTGTTCATTCATACCTCACCAGAACCTTTTCTCAGACTTTTGCGCAATTAACTCATCTTGAAGTTAAGTTGCCTTGTGATAGGACCTTATAATTTTGCCAGTAGCAGACAACCTCTGGATGAGATTCAAGAAAGCCCTGCATTTTGCTAGATTTACTTTGGAGAAAACAATCATAAAGTGAATTTCGAACTTACTACTATGTTATGTTCATGAAAAGAGCCTGATCCGTTAATGTGACAAAGACACACATTAATATCTACAATCTGACTCTTCGGGCTGAGCCTGTGGCTCTTTATTTACAGCCTCTCAGCTTACCTAATAACATGAGCCAAGGGCAGGATGATTTAAAAATGTAACTGATTATTACACAGATCTCCCAATATAGTAATAGCTATTTTTTTCTTTTACAATATGACAAATGCCTT